AGCAGTTCGAGAGTGAGCTCAGGTGCACTTTTCACATGACATTTCCCAAATATAAACATCTTCAACAATTTAAAAACAAAGCATATGCCTTCCTTCTTCAAAGCATTATGTTTATCACTGAAGCTCGGGTACACTTTCCCACTACTTGTTTAGAAAATCCCACTGTAACCTATCCACATTTTTATGTGTAATATTTGATGTGACAACATAAGCCTTAACAGGCTACATATAAATTAACCAAAGTATTTTGAAGGACCACATGCAATACCCAGGATATGTACAACTAGGACCATTACCTATTACCTTCTTTTGCTCTGTCCAAGTTAAATTATACAAACAGTGATCAGTAATATTTATGTTATAGTTTTCTTATTTAATATATACAGGATTTATATAGCGCCAACAGTTTGTGCAGCGCTTTACAATATAAGGAGGACATTACAGTTACAATACAAGTCAAGACAAGATGGTTAGGAGGGGCCTGCCAGTGAGAGCTTAAAATATGGACAATACAAATGTATATAAATATTTTAGATGATGAACACAAACAATTGTACAGCAGAACAAATCTAACAATAACAAGATGAAATAGGAGAGCCTGACTGTATGAGGATACAATCTATAGATCAGTATCCGCAGTTTATTGTGGAGCATAAAATGTAATTACAGTGATTTTATCCTGATCTTGGTCACTTACAACAATTTATATATGAAGAACAATAGAATATTTAGCTATGCACATACTGGCTTATGCCCAGAGCATGTTTGCCATCCTTTTGATCTGCATATCAAACACTCTGATGTAAAGGACTATTAAACTTAAAGGTCAAAACCTTATTAATGGTAATTTAGAAACTGGAATTATCTGCATGCTAGCAACATATGTTAATTAAATAATTTGAGATAATTTGAGAATGTACGTGAAGCATTGACACATATATTGACCACGTGTTAATGCAGATCAGTTACATAAATTGGCTATCCAAAGTAATTTCATGTTTTTCATGTTATATGCATTGATTGTGTATTAATCATTTACATGCTAAATTGCTAAATCAATAGAAAATGCATATAAAACCTAATTCTAACATTCTTCTGGAACAGGTTTTATCTAAAACCTGATACAAACATGGATAGTATATTGGACACATAGCAAGCTGTGTTTACATATAAATGGGACTGTGAGCAATAAAGTTCAGTACAAATGGAAGAAGATGCTTGGTTGTTACACAGAAAGCTCTTCCTCCAGACACTGCATTGTTAGTTTTTGCAATGGTCATGCTGGAAAATTACTGCATAATTAACTGGCCTAATTCTGCTCAATATCTGAGTAAACATTATACAATATCATAAAGGATGGAGGGAAATCAACTATAAACATGGGAATATGTGCAAGGCAAACCAAAAGGGAGAACATACATGTATGGTGTCAAAACAGATGTGCTGTAATATAACTAAATTTTGAGGTATACAGATATCTAAAGGGCTTCCAAGGTAATCATTGGAACTGCCTCTGCTATCTGAGATAACTTTTCCCTCAAACACTTTCATATATGAGGCCTCAATAACATTGTTACACATGCCACATTGGATACCTATAAAAAGTTCAAAAAGAACTTGGTATTGGTTTTAACAATATATAGTCTTAGCAAATAATTATTAATACATTTATATGTATTGTATAGAACACATATGAATAAGTAGGTTTAGTTATGCTTTAAAACAAACCTTATTGTTATTGTTTTTATTTATGAGATACATATTGCCACAGACCACTCACAGCCATCTATCAAACACGAGTCTGCACTGAAAAATGGTCATTAAAATCAGAAAGTGTAAATCTGTTGGTAGCTGCCAGCCCTAGGCCCTGATGCATGATATAAGATAGGCCCCAATGCATGATATAAGATAGGCCCCCTGCGTTTCAAACCTGTGCCCACTGGTCCTGACCTAAAATTGTGAATTATTTTAACTCCTCCTGCTATTAGCACACTCATCCCATTACCTCCCATGCCTAAAATCCCTAACCCTCATAACCCTGCCTACACAATTAACCGCAATAACTCCTTACACTTTGCACAATACATCTTTCCTCAAGAAGTATACTTTACTCCAGTGCATAGTACACTTCCTGCCATCACAAATGCTATAAATGTGATTTTCCATTAAGGAGATTTTGGAGCAGTTTAGCAGTAGGCATGGAAATAGAAAGGTAATTGGACCTATATGTTCTCTAATGTTCTCTAATGATAAGTACACTGTATGGGCCTCCCATGAGTATGTGCCCACTTGCCAAATTATTTCCTACACCTACACCTTTGCAGGGAATGACTAAAGCTGTTCTGTATATATTGATACATTCGTTCCAGTCATTACAACAGCATAATTTTTTTACGGATTGTATAACAAGGTATTTCTGCTTTGAACACAATGGAAAACTTCTTTAAATATGAAGCAAAAAAAGTGAAAAAAATCCTTGATACAAAAAGTATAATACGAAACTATGAACAATTTTCATTCCACAGTCAAGCCATGTTTTTTGCTTGCCAGTGCATAGGACACTAAGCCCTATACTGCATGTTCTCATACATTTTGCTCATTCTGTCCAGAAACTTTGCTTTACATTATTACTGAAAGGTAAGTTAAGGCAAAGTTGACTTTTTATAAAAATTTTAGGTTTTGGTTATGCCATTTACAGAAAAGAATATTTGTGTTTTGGTGCACAGTTGACTCATCATGCAGATTATATTTGTCTCAGCCACTTGTTTTCCTCAAGATAGGTTCTTTTGATATCAAACTGAAAAAAGCTGTGTTAGTGAAATGAGCTGACACTTACGATGTGTTGATTATTAGATTGTGCCAAGTAATTCCTTTCCTCATCTCACATCTAAAGGCACTTCTATGTATAAAACTAAGCCTTAAACACACGTTATTATTAAATACTATGAAGAGAAAAAAAAAAACGTGAATCACTCAATGACAAATTTAACTCAAACACATTACAAATGATGTGCAATAATGATCAGAGCAATGATGTTATTCAGAGAACAGTAACCCATAACATCCAAAAATCTCTTTAGTCTTTCATCGTCCTGGAAGTTAAAATTACTTTTGTGATCAATACTGATCACTGCCCTCCTTACCATCTTGTCAATGGTATCAATACTGCCAATAATGGTATCAATAATGGTAATCAATACTGCCCTCCTTACCATCTTGTCTTGAATTGTATTGTAACTGTAATGCCTTCCTTATATTGTAAAGCGCTGCGCAAACTGTTGGCGCTATATAAATACTATGTAATAATAATAATAATAATACTGACTTAAATTTAACTAGAATTTCTAGGGCTTTTGTATGCTTTATCACTGCTTCTCTCCTCATAAAGGTCCATGGGAATACAAGTGCAGCTTGAAAATTTAAGGGGACAAATTTAGGTCAACTTCAGATCAAATGCAGCTGCAATTAATTATGAATTTGTCGAAGACAAAGACATTGGCCCTTAAGCTGGCCATACACCTTACAATTATCTGCAGATTTTCTGTGGTCAAATGGAAAAGGTGCAACAGATTCCTCCATCTACACTTAACTGTGTGGATGGAGTCATCTCCACCTGGGCCAATCTGTTGCACTTTTTCCATCTGACCACAGAAAATCTGCAGATAATTGTAAGGTGTATGGGCACCTTTAGGGTATGTGGACCATACCTATATGAGTAGGCTAAAGGCTTATGGTGCATTGCACTCTGTAGTGAATTATACTGCAGTTTCAGGTTATGCTGCATAAGAACATAGAGGATTGCACCTACAACAATTATGTGGATGTTTTCAGCACATAGTGGTAGAAGCTGAAAGATGATGGCACACGCAGTAAAGACCTACGATATGCCATCATTATTTCTTCAAAGCAGTAACATCTGGCAACTGTGTTGTATTGAAAACACATACGGGTCTATTTTTTTAAAGCAGGGCAAATTAAGGTACATTTGTGTGTTAGGATTTACATGCATTCAAGAAATGTTAAAAAGAAAATAACACAGCGCTAAGGGTGAACAAATAAATAATACTTCAATAACTAGTGTTAAAGGTGGAAAAATAATTTGTCATAAAGTGGTATATAAAACTGGCATTTAAATGGTAAAAAAAACATGGTAAATTATCAGCTAACCGTTCATTTGATGCTTTATAAACATGTCCCAAAATAATTCTCTAACAATAAAGGCACATGACACACACTTGTGTAGTTGTAGTCTAGTGTGGTAAAAACACTCAGAAAGGTAGCAATTAATCATCGTTAAAACTCGGAGACTGCTTGTATAAATTACCTGCTCATTATTTTTTTCCCAAGTGGTTCCCTTAATTAACCTAAAAGTTCAAAGTCTAACCAGAATGTGAACAGGTTGGTTTGTGGTTGCTGTACAGCTTTGAGAATCTTTTTTTTCTACACACTGGAAGCTAAGATCCCTGTGCTGGGATGCTTTTATCTCACATTTCAAGAGCATCTGCCTGTTTAGTGGTATGCATGATGCAAGATAATTTAAGGGGTTTTATGAAACATTATCCAAATTAGTCTGCATGTACATTTGAAAAAAAACTAAATGTCACAAACAGATATCAAAAGAATTTCCATATAACTATTAACACGTTCATACATATGGAGTTAATGCTATTATTGTTTAGATTACTGTACAGGCTTTTCTTTAGAGAAAGACAGTCTAAAAGCAAACAGCTACTGTTGTGGCCCTATTTTTGGAAAGCTTAAAATAAAAAATCTATTACAGTTGTGTCTTGACAACATTCTACATCAAATATTTATCTATAAAAATTAAAATTTTGATTTGAATAGTGAAAAATAAGACATCAGTTTAAAAAGAAATATTTAAAAAAAGTAATACAGTTCACATATTATGTTGTCATATGCACCTTTTTTAAGAGTTTACACCTACATTCTGACATCTTTAAACAAAAGCTTAAGGGTAAACTTGTTTCTTTCTTCTACAGCTTCAGCAATTCCAGATAATGGAAGAAGATCCTGCTTAAAGCTCAAAGTCTATGTACGGCCAGCAAGTAAGTGCCTTATGTTTGCTTCAAAGGTGGCCCTCGGATGCATGTTTTATTGTGTGCTACAATTAAAAGCATTAAAGTTTTTTTTCCCTTTCTTTTAAATGTTAAGCCTTGTGTGATTCCGATAGTCAACGTTTGTGGTTTACTTTGCATCTTTTTTTCTAATAATTTCTCATTGAGCATTGTTACAAACATGCCTCCTTGCTAACTTGTTGTTTCTTAATTGTTGTTGATGTCTAGATTGAATAGGAACAATACTGTATGCTTGGCATAAGGAAAATGCTCTGTAGCTCAAAATGCTCTGAGCAAAGCATGCAGTACAAAAAATTTAAAAAGTAGCTTAAAGAAAATGAGGAGCTGGAAAGATCTCACTAACATATTTGGCTGTTATCTCTATTTTTATTATAGACAGCTGTATGAAAACTATAGGTGTTCATGACCGTGTTTTCGATGTTAACGACAAAGTAGAAAATTCATTAGAACCAGCAGGTTAGTATGCTTAGAGAAATCTCTTTTAACCAACTTATTTTCTCTTTTTGGTGCTTTGTATTCCAAGCCTTGCATGTCTTGCATGTTGTCTATGTAGAGCGGTGATACAGCTTTCATAGTTACCCTCATTCCTTTTGCATGTTAATGCAATGCATGAAGGACATTTTGCATACCTGCTTTCTTTTGGGCTTGCAGTGGTTGCATTAAGTTTTCCTTTTTTTATGTAACAAATTTTTATATTCTAAATTTGTAATCGAAAAAGATATCTTGCATGCATATGACTTGTTGTGTTTGATTATATGTATGTATGTGTTTCCTAAATGTCTCAAAATCTTCAAATTTTAGATATTTGCTCTATGAAGCGATCACGTGTTTCTTGATTGATATACCACACGCATGACACAATACACCCCTGTCTGTGCCCCTGTAATTTGTGTATGTGTCAGTCCTGTATTTATAGAAATTCAATCAATAAAGCAACATAACACTTTGGGGTTAGGTTTATCATTTGGTGACATTTAGTTTGCCAATTGTTCAGCCAGCTAGACAGCAATGGCATAATAATGATACATAAAATAAAATGCATTTTAATTTATAAACTCCATCTTTGTTGTTTACCATAAATGTTTTTATGTACCATAAATGTTTTTTACAAATCACATACTGTACTAGTGTTAGAGTAGGACCTATCCCTTGCCACTGACATCACTACTCTGTAATCAGTGTATAGCCCAGGAATCAGAGAAAATCAAATTCTATTTAACATTTCCCACATTTTCATTATGCTTTTTATTAGGTGTTCTTTACAGCAAAGGGACAGCCAAACACTGAGAAACACATCACATTTTATAGCAAATAGGCAGTCAAAGAGAGCAGGAAGGGGTTGTCTACACAGCACTCAATAAAGATATGGTTCCATCCAGTACCATGGGTTGCACGTCTAGTGGGGTGCATTGCAAGAAAACAAGGTCTGCTTGCAGGCATTGGAAAGGCTCTTCACTAGCACACTAGCAGAAGTTGCCTGTAGCAGGAATATCTATCTGCTGCTCACTTAAAACTAACAATGAGGTTTGGGTTCACCGCTGCCATGGGTTCAACAATTAATCCTTGGGTTTAGGATTCATGGCCCCTGCAGGTTTATGTGCACATTGGTCTGGGATATTTTTTTCAACCATAATGTTAAATATTTTTTAGAAATAATTTTTAACCATGGCATTTTAGGTGCCTTATTGTCTTTGTATGATCAATCGGCTGATCATACTTAACTGTCATAATATTTCCAAATTAATAAAACAAATAGCATACATTTTTGCTTTACAAATTCATTTTTCAAAATATGGTCTTAAGCCTCTACCATACTACAGGGTCCCTGGAGCCCAGGTAAGCATAATTAATTTAGTGACAAATTCATCCACAAAACATATACCGTTGTGGTATGGTTTTTATGATGACAGCCTACAACAGAGATGTATATCAGCAAACAATATTATGCCATATGCTAAGTAATTATGAAGTAACAGTGTGTTCTGATACTACCATCTTTATTACATTAAAGAGAGTTATCTGCCCTGCACATCTATAACTAAAGGACATACGGGGACATAATACATACAAGCAAATTTCTAAAAATAACTACAGCACTTGAGAACAAAACAAAGTGTGTTACGAATTCCCATGGTGTTACTAGCCCATCTGTCATTTATTTTCCAGACAATTAAAATAAACAATTACAGTTTATTAAAATAAACAGCCGATTATTAAAAGAGGAATGTAATAATATTGATGTGCTGATTTTGTTCAATACATCTTCTGAGTTAACCAGGGGGAAGATTGTCTCTCATGCTTCCATGACTTCTCCTCTTAACTGTCACTTAAGGAAATCTTCCTGTGGACACTTATGACAGACACTAAAAGCTCAGGAAAGTTTAACTGTTTATACATGCAACATACATACATTTGCTTTTTGTTTTGTTTTAAAGAAGGGAACAGTTGAAAATACAATGAGGAACATTTATTACTTCCGTCACTAAGCAAGGCAGTGAGACAAGTTAAAGCCCAACTGAACCCTTAGTTTAAATCAGCTAAATGCATTGCAGGTGAATGAAAACAAAAGGAGTGAGTTGACTTACATTATTTTTTTTCTCATAGCAACCACATGCTGAACAGAAAAGACTTTGGGGTCTATTCACAAAGCTGGCAAAGGATCTGGCCGTAGCTTCGGCCGATCCTTCGGCTAGCTTCGGCCCGTAGAACCGAAGGGGTGCTGTACAGGCTATTCACAATAGCCCGTACAGCTCCCGATCATGGTCGAGCGGCTCAGCCGGGCCGAAGGCATATGCATCGGCTCGGCTGGGCCGTGCTGAAAGCCGAAGCTGGCCGAGCGGCCGGCCATTGGCCGGCCGACAGCCTGCTTCTGACAGCTGGGCG